CTCTTATGTTAATACATAACAAATCTATTCTAATAAGTTTGTATACGAATTGCCAGTCTTAAAGGCTCAAATCGACCTAATATTATTATTTTTTACTAAACGAACATGAATCATGAACCGTTATTTCTATCCACCCTTGATGATATAAATGATGGTTGCGGCAAAGGAGATGATAGGGACCAATATAAAAGGAAAAAGCAGAGTTCAGTGGTTATGTTCGATAAAAACTATCTACAAAAATACGAATCGAATATTTGCATTATTCGTTTTATCGAACCAAATAACTTTGATTCGTACGAATAATAAAAACATTATTTGATTCGATTAGAAAATTAAATTCCTCAGAAATATTTTCGAAAATGAAATAACGAATCATTAAAATTTATATAAGCTATTTATAGATGTTGAAATAAAGATATAAAAATATTTATGAATAATTTCAATAATGTATAAAAAATTATTTGACGAATATTATATTTACCTTAGATGTTCTTTTTAGGTATTATGTAAATCAGGAATTAGAACCCCGTTAACCGATATTATTTACCTAACCTGAATCAGTAAACATTTTCTCATCAGAACCTTACCCGAACATCTAATAATGCGTGTAAACTTGTTTAAACCTTTTGATATAACTTTTTTAAAGATTATTTTCAATCTATTGATATGTATTCATATAGTAGAGTTTAAAAAGATTCTTTTTATATGTATCAAAATATATGATGTTAAAATATTTAGATACAATCACATGGCCTAAACTATACCTAGATAGTGTTGTTAAACGGCTCATTTGAGCCTATTTTTAAAAAACGGTTAACTCAATATTTTATCCAGAAAAATATACGCAAGCCTTAAGATTTTGCTAATAGATGGCATAATGGTTTGAACATCTATAAACGAAATCTTATCTTTCTGGCTAAAATATTGAGTTAGCCGTTTTAAAAAAAATGGCTCAAATTGAGCTGTTTAACAACACTACTAAAATAAAGATACAATTTTTTAAGACACACTAATTTTTTAATCACGTAAGATGTGTATAAAACCCTTCAACGTCTCATGATATGTTTTGACATGATATAATATAATTATATATTTTAAATTTTATATGCCGATTAATTTGACATCATATAATAAAAATACTTTCGTATATTATTAAAATTATTAACTCATAAATCATAATATTTTATTTTTAAATTTGATCCAATAATATTTTCATAATTTTATTTTTACCATTTCACTGAATTATATGATTTTATAACGACAATATAACGAATTCTGTGAATAATATTAAATAATTCTTAAATTTTTATTCATTATTAAAAGTAAGAGTATAAAATTATGATTAATAATTTTATTACAAATGACTATGCTCTTTTTTATATCAACTAAAGTGTATAATGCCAAAATAAATCATCTGGATTTTAGAATACCTTTTTTAAACATTTTTTATTTTATATTTAAGTGGTTTTCTATAGTTATAATTATATTTTGTCATAAAATGTATTCTAAATTCAATCAAACCACACCTATTTTGAACTTGACATTCATAAGACCTATGTCCTCTGACTCGTAATATAATTTTACATTTATTATATTTTTTAAAATGATTCTGTATAATTAATTTATAGATGCCAAATAATTTAATAATACTAGTCGAGGGAGACATTTCGGAATGACAACATAAATGAATCTGAGATATTCTGCACACTCTTCTTTACTATGATTCTCCTTTAACTTCATCAACTCCAACATCTAATAATCTTCAAGTCGAGTTAGAAAAAATATGTGTTGATGAATTAATCATCCCGTTCAAAGGGCTGAGTCTTTTAAAACGATATATAAAATCGAAGCCTCATAAATGGGTTATTAAAGTTTTTTCATTAGCCGGATTCTCAGGTATTGTATATGATTTTAAGATTTATGCGGAAAAGCAAACTAATCCAACATCATCAGAATTAGTAATAAGTGGTAATTTAGTTCTCCAAATGGCTAAAAATATTCCGAAATTTTAAAATCATAAACTTTTGTTATAACTACTTTTGTTCAATAGCATTGGCTAATAAAATTAAAAGAAATAGGTATATTTATGGTAGGGACTATTAGAAGTAATCGGTAATCGGATGAAAGATTGCAAGTAATGCGATAGATACTTAAAAAAAGAAGGTCGCTTTATTTGAAGTTAAAAAGAAAATATAATAATTGGCAAATGGTATGTTAATAAGTTTGTGTACGTCATCCCATCCTTTGTCAGTGTTCATCCGATAGCAAATGTAAAAAGATGGTCACGAAGTATCCAAAAATATATTGAGGTGCCAAGACCAAATATATTAAAAATATATAATGAAGGTATGGGAGGAGTCGATTTAAGGTTCTATTTGAGAAACATTTTTCATCTCATTGATATGTGTGTGGTGAATTCATGGCTTTTGTATAGGCGGCAAATATACCATGAAAAAGAGAAAAAAATTATGAAACTGATCCAATTTAAAACACATATTGTTAACGCATTGTTATCGGCAGGGAAAATTAGTAAATGAAAAGCAGGGAAACCTTTGAAAGAATAGTAAATAAAAAAAGTTCTTTTATATTGGCGCCTATATCTGATATCAGATATGACAACATAGGTTATTGGCCGGATGCCTGCGAAACGAGGCAAAGATGCAAGTTATGCATAAATGCATACTCCAGAAAAATATGTAAAATGTAATATATATATTTTATAACCAATATAGAACGAGCTTTTCATAATATATGTATTTTTTTATATTACACTATGCCTGATGATGCCAAATTGCATCATCATTTTTTTACCTGTATAATTAAAAATGAAATTTGAAAAATTTTTTGGGCATCTATGGAGTGTATAAATGAATAATTTATAGAAATTTTTTTTTTAATTATTAAAAAAATTGAGCGTCAAAGGGTTAAAATAATAGTATTGAACCAATTTTTTTTTACTCCGTTTGAGATTTTATTTATATATCAAATTTATTCATAAATATTATTAATATATTAATATGTTTAATATGTTTAATATGTGTTAAAATTTATATTTTTATCCATATCCTCTCGTGGGTGTTTAAAAATTTATAATATTTAATATTGATAATTTTTCTGCAGTATTACTTTAGAAACTTTAAATGTTCTTAATAATCGTTGTGACAATTATTTTTTTGTCTTTAAATTTTATGGCATTTAGAGACCAATCAAGCTTGAAAATTTGCTGATACTATTTTTGTTTTATTTTCGGTAGTATATGTTAATCATCTAAAAATTTATAAATATTATTATTAATATCATATATTTGTTATCCATTGTGTAAAAAACTGGTCTAGAATTGGGCAGAAATAAACTCGGAATATAAATTTAATTTGAAAAAGTAGGATTAAATTTAAAATTATATATATAGATAAAGTAAAGTAAAATTATATCGATATGTATATATATTAAATATATCTAAAAATAAATACTGATATTTTTACAAAAATATATCTAGATAAGAGACAGATGCAATATATTTTAATACCTTAATAACTCTGATATGTATACCTCATTTTAAAATATTTATTTTTTATATTGCTCTATTCTTAACTATAAAACTAATTCTTCTCTTAACAGAAGAGAATCTTAATAATATCTTAATTGTTCATCTTAATTTTGGCAAAATCTTTATTATTTTGATTAGATTGCTACAATTTTATTCAAAGAAATTTTTAAAAAAAAATATATCCTGAAGGAAAATAACTCAATTGCATTTTAATGTTAACAATATTTATTATTTTAACTTTTTTATATAAACTAGAATTTTTATAAACAGGGTTGGGCAAATTTTCAAATTTATTCTATTATAAATACAAATACACTTCAAAAAAAAGTATTTGTGTATAAACACTTCTTAAAAAAAATATTTTAAATATAATTTTACAGAACATATAATAAATTGCTTCATTTGTGATTTTCGTTTTATTTTTAGTAGAGTAGACACATATAGCGTTCTCTATATTATTAATTTTTGATGATATTGTGAAAAAACTCCATTCATAATTCTCTATTACATTTATAAGATGATGACTTTGTCACAGAATCTCTCCAAAAATATCTTATAAACATAATAGCTTAATATAGAAACTCTTCAATTACTATGTCCTTATCTTCTTCAAAAAAAATTGTGTTTTCCTTTTTGATAATATTCATTTTGGAAATAAATTAGGATTTGAAATGGAAGATGTAATTTTTTTGCTAACTCCGGTCACAAATTTAATATATTAGATAAATCTGGATATATTCAATTTATACCCTAAAAGTGTATTCGTATTAGTCTGAAAATCGTCGTAAAAAAATACTAAATACTTTCCAAAATATTCAAATAAATACTAAATAAAAATGTATTTATATTTTAAATACAAGTATTCACATTACTGCCCAACCCTCTTTATAAACTACATTTGAATTATTATTAGTATCAATAAAATATTGAATCACTAGTTTTTAAACAGGGCGGTATTGATTATAGAGAGTTATATATTTCTAAATTTTATTAATATAAAAATGATTTTATAGTTTATTATTGCCAAAATATAGGATTAACATAACATATAAAATATTGAATCACTAGATATAAACGGGGCGGTATTGATTATAGAGATTTATATATCTTTAAATTTTAACAATATAAAAAGGATTTTATAGCTTAATATTACCAAAATATAGGATAATATAGCATACAATTATTTAGTAAAAAAATTTAATACAAACATAAAAGACATTTAATTTAAATCGTGATTATATTCCAAAAAAGTCAATGATTTGAATTGAGATTCAATTTTGAATTCCGTCACCCTAATGAAAAGTACTGAAAACGTCTCGCATTTTACTCCATGTCATGTTTGAAAGAATAAATTAAATCATATAATATAGTAGTTAATTATTACATATAATTACAGCAAGCAATATAAGATTAGGCAACTTTAATTACTATAAATTATTTTACCAAATTATCAAGGACCCTATACCATCTTTCGCCTTGATGGACATTCAAACCGATAATGTTACCACTTATATTTACAGGCTAATCAAAGGGGAAGTTAAAGTAGACAGAGCCGAGTATCGTTTATCATCGGAAGAAAAAAATGTTAACAGCGTTGATCCCGTTAGAAATGCAAAGCTGCCTCAAACCTTTTCTATAATTTATTAATTTTTAAATTAAAATATTCAATTATATATACTATATGTAATATTAATTATATTTAATAAAGTTATTTTTTTTAAAATTCGTTTAATTTGTGTCTTTATTTTGGTAACCAGTAGTGTTGTTATATAGTCGAGTTCTCCTGACATTTACTCCTAGTCGAAGTCGATTAGTAGAATCATTTTTACTACTCTAGTCATGAACTCAACTTAAATTTTATCGATTACTTATATTAGTGTTGTTAATTGGTTGGTTGTGTAAAATAGTGTTGAATTACCTAACTTTAATCAACTATAAAAGAGCGTAGCCATGTTTTTATCTAAAAATATTCGAATCAATCTTCAAGTTGAGACTCATCTTAGAAGCTTAATTCAATTTTTTATGCCAAAACTTGACTAAGCCATAATTGAGATCGTCAAAATTAAGTAATTTAACAACACTAGTGTAAAACCCAAACCTGACGCTTGGATCTAAAAATGACTAAATCAGCTATGAGCACGAACCACGAGCACAGACCCATACATTTTAAGTTATTTTTTTTGACCTTATTAAAGTATATAAATATATAGTTATTAGAGGTAGCAATCGATAGATAATTAAAAGACATATATAATAGGGAACAGGCCAAGCACCACTTCTCGATGGGTGAAGTGACATATAATAGGGAACAGGCCAAGCACCACCTCTCGATGGGTGAAGCTATTACTATTGGGGTCAGGTAAAATTTTATCAGCACCAAATATTATGATGATAGATGGGTATATCAAATAAGCCTAGTTCTACCTTAATATAGTGTATATGAGTACAACCTGCGGGTGAGGTTAAAAATAAATCTTTGATATAGTTAGGGTGCATTCACAGTAGAGAGCGACAAAGCACTAATAGACAGCAGCTGATATTTCGTAAGCGACATAGCATTCATAGTAGTTGCGACAAGCATATTTTTATTTTTTAAAAGTTAATATGAAAATATCCATTTGAACCTAATTTAAATCGTATCAGGTCAATTCAGCGAAACACATCGGAATGTCGTTTATCGCGAAAAGTTTTTATAGCGAAGGTAAAATCGCGAAACCATTTCTGTGAATTTATCTCCGCGAAACATTTATAGCGAAGACAATTTCGCGAAGCCATTGTCGCGAATTTATTTCCGCGAAACCTTAACCGCAAATTTATTAGAGCGAATACATTTTACGCGAACACTTTACAGCGAATTTTTTATCGCGAATATGTTTGCGCAAAGTCATTGTGGCGAGCGCATTACCGTGAAACAATAAATTTATTGCGAATGCATTTATTTAAAAGAAAACATATTATTTATTATTTGATGTTTTTTAAAAATGATATGCTACTATTGTAATATTATTTTTGTTACAATTTATTAGTGATTTTCAGGCCCAAGATTTTAAGTAAAAAATATTCTTGAAGTTCAAAAAGATTTTTGAACATATTTTGATAAAAATTTTAATCTTCTTTGTAAATATATTTTTTTGGAATTCTTTTGTGAAATTTATTATAAATATGCAATTTTTAAGTGAAATCTTTTATAGTTTTTTTTATCATTTTTGTAAAATTATCTATTTCTTAAATATAAAAGAGGTGGGTTTTCTAAATAATTTTTTTTAAATATTTATATTCAACTTATTTATGTTATTTTATATGATCTAATAAAGGAAAATAATTTAATCTGACAATTGTCATATTCGTTATTTTTTAAGATTTATGAAATTTTTTGACTCAAATGGGTAAAAATACCATTTATATTGTAAAGATGTTAAATTATAAATTCAATGAAGATGTTCCTTGAAAATGTGGCAATTATCATAATCGGTATTTTTAAACATATTAGATTTTTTTAACGCTAATGGGCAAAAATATGTATTTTTAACATGTTAAATTATAATTTCAATTAGGATGTACCATATAAAACCGACAATAGTCATAATCATTATTTTTAAAGTTTTTTTACAATTTTTTGACGTAAATGGGCAAAAATATAAGTTGTTAAAATTTCAGTGAAGATGTACGATAGATATAAGTTAAAATTGTTTATAAAGTTTTTTGAATTTTTTTGTTGTAAATGGGTAAAAATATAATTGTAAAATGCTTAATTAAAATTTCATGAAGACCTACCATTGAAAAGTAACAATTGTCAATCGTTATTTTTAAAGTTTTTTAATTTTTTTGACGAAAATGCGATAAAATAAGTATTGCTAGTATGTTTAAATAAAACTTCAGTGAAGATGTACCCTAGATAAATGACAATTAGCATAATCATTATTTTTAAAAATTTTTTAACGTAAATGGGTAAAAATAAAGATTGTAAACATGTTAAAATTTCATGAAGATGTACCATAGAAAAGTGACAATTGTCATAATCGTTATTTTATAACTTTTTTGAATTTTTTGGACGTAAATGGGCTAAACTAATTATTGCTAACATGTTTAATGATGTACCATAGATAAGTTACAATTGTCATAATCGTTGTTTATTTTGAATTTATTTGTTGTAAATAGGTAAAAATATAGATTGTAAACATGCTAAATTAAAATTTCATGAAGATGTACCATTGAAAAGTGACAATTGTCATAATCGTTATTTTTAAAGTTTTTTGAATTTTTTTGACCAAAATGGGTTAGAATAAATATTGTTAGCATGTTTAAATAATACTTCAGTGAAGATGTACCTAAAGTGACAATTATCATAATCATTATTTTTAAACTTTTTTTGACGTAAATTGGCCAAAATAAGTATCGATAACATATTTAAATAAAACTTCAGTGAAGATGTACCCTAGATATGTGACAATTGTCAAAATCGTTATTTTTATATTGTATTTTTTTAACGCAAATGGTAAAAATATAGATAGTAAACATGTTAAATTAGAATTTCATAAAGATGTACCATAAAAAAGTGACAAATGTCATAATCGTTATTTTCTAACTTTTTTAAATTTTTTTGACGTAAGTGGCTAAAATAAGTATTGCTAACATGTTAAAATAAAATTTCAGTGAAAATGTACCCAAGATAAGTGACAATTGTCATAATCATTATTTTTAAAGTTTTTTGACTCAAATGGGTAAAAATATAGATTGTAAATATGTTAAATTAAAATTTCATGAAGATGTACCATAGAAAAGTGACAATTGTCATAATCGTTATTTTATAACTTTTTAAATATATTTGACGTAAATGGGCTAAAATAAGTATTGCAAACATGTTTAAATAAAATTTCAGTGAAGATGTACCCTAGATAAGTGACAATTGTCATAATCGTTATTTAAGTTTTTTGAATTTATTTGTAGCAAATGTGTATATAGATTGTAAACATGTTAAATTAAAATTTCATGAGGATGCACCATATAAAGGTGACTATTGTCATAATCGTTATTTTTAAAATCATTTGAATTTTTTAGATGCAAATGGGCAAAAATATAAATTGCTTACATGTTAAAATAAAATTTCAGTAAAGATGTACAATAGATAAGTTACAATTGTCATAATCGTTTGTTAATAAAGTTTTTTTAAATTTTTTTGTTGCAATCGGTAAAAATATAGATCGTGCTAAATTAAATTTCATGAAGATATACCTTTGAAAAGTGACAATTTTTATATTCGTTATTTTTAAAGTTCTTTGATGTAAATGGGTTAAAATATAGATTGTAATCCATTTTAACCATAATAAAATCTTAACATTAAATTTATAGGATGTTAATTGTATCATATTACTAAATAATATTCATATGGTTTTTAAGTCTTTCTATAAAAATCCTACCCTGAATTCAGACTCATCACTATTTTTCTACGAGTATACAAAAATATTTGCTAACTGAATGCAAGGTTATACATTGTTATAATGTAGAATTAAAATTTATTAATTAAAGGAATAAGATTGTGAATATATATCTTATAAGTTTAGAATTTAACATAGGTACAACTATCTTTAATAATCACTGCATATTTTTATCAAATTTTAAGCAGGATAAAAGGAACAACGATTATGAGAATGAAAATATCTATTTGTTTTTTTGTTTCGACTGAAATTTTATTTTAACATGTTAACAATTTATATTTTTGTCCAATTGCGTCAAACAATTCAAAAACATTAAAAATAACGATTATGACTATTGTCACTTATCTATGGTACATCTTCACTGAAATATTATTTTAACATGTTATCAATTTATATTTTAGCCCATTTGCTTCAAAAAAATTTAAAAACTTTTAAAAATAACGATTAAGAAAATTGTCACTTTTATATGGTATATCTTCATGAAATTTTAATTGACATTTTTATAATCTATATTTTTACCCTTTTGTATCAAAAAATTTCATAAAACTTTAGAAACAACGATTATGACAATTGTCACTTATCTATGGTACATCTTCATTGATATTTTATTTTAACATGTTAGCAATTTCTATTTTTGCCCATTTGCTTCAAAAAACTTTAAAAATAACGATTATGACAATTGTCACTTATCTAGGGTACATCTTCATTGAAGTTTTATTTAAACATGTTATCAATACTTATTTTGGCCCATATATGTCAAAAAAAAGTTTAAAAATAACGATTATTACAATTGTCACTTTTGTGTGCTAATCTTCATGAAATTTTAATTTAACAAGTTTACAATCTATATTTTTACCCATTTGCATCAAAAAAAATTCAAAAAACTTTAAAAATAAGGATTATGACAATTGTCACTTGTCTAGGGTACATCTTCCTGAAGTTTTATTAATACATGTTAACTATACTTATTTTAACCGATTTACGTCAAAAAAACTTTAAAAATAACGATTATGATAATTGTCACTTTTATATAGTGCATCTTAATTAAATTTTAATTTAACATGTTAAAAATACATAATTTACCGTAAAAAAAATCCAATATGTTTAAAAATACCGATTATGATAATTGTCATTTTTCCAGGAACATCTTCAATAACAAATATAAAAATTGTCAGATTAAATTATTTTCCTTAAAAAGATCATATACATAAATAAGTTAAATAAAAATCATTTTAAAAAATATTATTTAGAAAACCCACCACTTTTAATA